ATTATCATTATTATAATTAGTAATACGTTTTATAGTATCATCACTACACTAATTATTATAATATGTTTATATACTTGGTTTACAGTGCTTTTGGATCATGTAGTCTAATAAACAACAACTGTATAAATTTCACCAAGTCCTTTTTAGTTGATATAGTTCGGTACGTCAATCATTGTCTGTGAGTGGGAAATGTTTGAGGAATCAAAACTGATGGTTACAGTTAGACTTGCTCTTACGGCCATTTATGCCCAGACAGTCACCTATACAAACTACCTCTTCTCATTTCTTTTCTAGTGATTTTTTTTTATTTTTAGGGGGTGGGGAGTACATTGTAATGACGCTGTCAAAGATTTCGAAGACAACAACTTGTTTCCTGACAATGACTGGACGTCTCGGGAAGTTTTGAGTGTACTTGACACAGTGTGCTTTGTCCAGCACCATATTCCCACCAGACCGGATCAGATCAAATCATGCAGATCAGATATATTAATTATTTGGTACCTTAGAATGGCAAAGTTCTATCTGTTCAGTACCTAGTTCAGATAAATTTGACTTTAAAGATTTTGGGTTTTACTACATGGCAACCTTTTTCAAATGCAATTCTTTGAATATCTTGATAACGACTCTGCGTAATATTACTATTTTGATAGAGCTGATACAACATTAATTGGTTTCTGACCTGAAGGTCTCAGAATCTCAAAACGTCCTAAAATGTCCACAAAAAACTGTGTAATTCTGAGTTAGCGTATTGTGTATTCGTTCTTGGTGTAAAAAAAACATGCTTGTCTCTCTAGATGTGTCAGCATGGACAACTGACCACGTGAAAGAGTGGCTCCAGACAGGTATCTCTGAGTATAATCTGACCGGCCTGGACATTGAACAGTTCAGTGGAGTGGACGGTGCACGGCTCAGTCAGATGTCCTGGGAGGAACTGTATAATCTGGCAGGACCGGACAATGTGCACGTCCTCTACCCCTACCTCAACTACCTCCGGAAATGTGAGTTCTGATGATTGATGCATATGTTTCTTCGTCTCTCAATTATGCACTCACTCCCTCCTCCCAGCCTTTAACCCTAATTATTAACATATTTCATCATTGTTACAAACTATCTCTATTCTATTCTATTCTATTCTATTCTACTCCGTTCTATTCTATTCTATTCTATTATATTCTAACACAAGCATTTAAATATGTTCCACGTCTTTGACACTGTATCAAATTTTGCATACAAATACACACAAACACGTCAAAGATCTTGCTCATACTGTAAAAAATTATGGCGAAAAAGCCAGAGGAAGACGAAGAATAACTTAAACTTTTTTTGAGAGGATCAGGGTAGAAAAGCGAGTTTCATATCTGGCAGAAGGATTATTAAATGTGAGGCAGCGTGGTGGAATCAGGCTCTCGTCAAAATAATCAAAAGGAAGAAACTTGCATTTTTCAACAGGTCCATGAATTTTAATCAATTTTTTGTTTTTTATCTCCACACCTTTCATGCCCATTAAAAAACTCATTTCTGTGTGGATTTTTCTGACAAACGTTGATTACAGGTACAAAAAATGTAAATTTTCAGTTACCATGGACTGTTAAGTTAAGGAAATAACTAATCTTTGACGGCCATTTTCTTACTAATTTTACCTCTGAAAATAGGTGACTCCCACCTCCTTCTTTCGCAAATATCTCTACTTGTATTCAAGATAAATGGATATTTGTTTTATTCAAATAAAGACAAATGAACAAGCTTTATGATGATACCAATAACTCTTCAAGCCCGAAAATTGACGAGAGCCTGATTCCACCACGCTGTCTCACAAATACTTTTCGCTGTCGCCCTTTAAATCTCTACAAATTATTATTATAATGAATCTTTTACATTCTTTCACAAACATATCTATTTGCCTTCCAAAGGATACGACCAATAAATAGCATTTGTTTCATAGGAAAACTTACCCCCTCCCCTTTTTTCAAACTTTTTCTTAGATACCCCCATTCTCCTTGCCCTTTTCTTACTCTATTCCAAGGCATCCCCCACCCCTTTCTTATTCTTTCCCACCATCTGCCCTACCTCTTTCTTAATCTTTTCCAAGACACTCTGCCCTTTTATTCTTTTTAAAACCTTAGGTCACTTCCATTAAACATGCAAAAGCGTTTTGGAATAACCTTTTTATTTTCTCCTGGGCAGCCTCCCCAGCATGTTACGCATCTCGACGAGTGAGTGACGGTTCCACGACAACTGAACGCCAGAACAGTCACGCCTCTGACGTCAGGGATCTCGACGACAATGTTACGTCATCACGGTTTTGTCCCGACGTCACAGGTGAGTAAAGATCGAAATAATGACATAGAACTGCACCAAAAGCTTTTATTTTCTAATTTTGCGTTGCTTCTCGCTTTCTTGTAACTGTCTCAGGTTCAAATCCTGTGGCGTTGATGGCCTAGTGGTGAGGCTCTCGGATTGGCCACCGCCGTAGGTCGTGGGTTAGAGCTCCATCAGGGGGCCGACGTAATGTCTCTGCCTGGGAAAGGCAATTCATTACACGAGTTTTCCTCACTTCACCAATGTGTGAATGGGTTCTCCGTTAGAAACAGCAAGATATCCTGTCAGTTTGTTTGTAGAAGAGCGAAAATACACAAACGCAAACACACGCGCGCGCGCACACACACACTCACACATACACACACACACGAAGCAGAAGAGGGAATAGATAAAAGTGGGAATTCGATTTAACAAGTATTGGTGCGTCCCTATGAGTATGTCATGTTGTGAGTGTGTCAGTCTGTCTGTCTGTCTGTCTGTCTGTCTGTCTGTCTGTCTGTCTGTCTGTCTGTCTGTCTT